TGCGCTCTTTTCTCTCGTCGGCGAAATTTGTGTGGATGTGCGGTCTCAAAATCAAATTAGTCAGACGGCACGCAGTCGGGTGAAATATAAATCTGCTGATTTACACAGAAATAGGTCCGAAGTCGACCGCTTTTCGTAGCCATAAAAACAAATTAAGCCAAAATGTTAAATAAACAAGTTTCGGCGAAACGCGACGACAGGCATAAGCCAGCGGCTGTCTTGGCCTGGCCAAAATTGAGACAAAAGTTATCTTATTAATTCCCCGCCACATCACACACTCGCACTCCCCAGTGGGTTTTTGGCCCCCCCGAGATTTCCCCCCGACTTTCCCTGTCATCACGCCCCACTAAACTCGCCGTTAATACGCACAATCAAATGTGATAAATATAACGGAATATTGTAGCATAATTTTGGGGGCAAGCTAAGCCGACAGAAATAACACTTGAGCAAATATTAGATCAGCCTGGGCTCACAATTTTAGCCAGCTTTCTAACCATCACCCTCTGCATCTCTTTCCTTGGCTCATTCACTATCCCCTTCTATGGGACACACATATATTTCGCTTTTCCATTTGCCTGCACTGAGAAAAAAATGTAAGGTCTACAATATATTGATAATATTTTTAAATCCATTCATCAATGTTTTTTCTAAAATAAATACCAGTAAAAGTAAATTTTCTTTAACAATTTTATTAACTTCTTGTAAAAGATAAAATGGGAATTAAGTTTATTTATATTTTCTCAGTGTGCCTATTAGCCAGTGTTTGTTGTGGCAATTTCTGTTTTGGCAAAAAAGAAAGGAGAAAGGGGGCAAGGAAAGTTGGCGGGGAGTCATCTATGTATGAGTAATCGCTTTCATGCTTGATGACCGAAATGATTAATGGATTTTGGGAAATCGAGCCAAGTCCAAGATTAAACGCAACAGTTTCCAGCATTGATCATTTGTTATGCCCCAGCAGAAAAACATCTATCCCATGCGAAGGGTTTTTCGAGATGGAATTAAGGCTCTTAAGCCTTTAAATCGTGTTGGTAATAATTTCCGAAGGGAATTCAGAATATGCCAGGATGTTTGCAATTGACATACAATAATGGGAGATTTCTCTTAATATTAGCTTTTGGTTTTACCCATCAGATACTTCGACAAGCACAAATAAGACTAAGTAAATTGGTAAGCCATTAACCAAAATTCACAACGAAATGTTTAGAGGTATAATAATATTTCTGCAAGACGCTATTAAAATCACCTGAAATTATTCATGCTGAAATTATTCATGATAGGTTTGAAATCAATTTGCTGAATTCGTAATTACCAACTGGAGAATCAGGTATTGTTGCTTTTGAATAATTTGTACTTTGCAGACAACTGGCTGGCAAATACAAATGCCTTATACCAAATTGAAGGAGCAACAAGCCATAAACAAGCCAAACGAGGAATGCAAAAAGGACTCTGTCTTTTGCCTTCTGAATTCTTTTGCATTTGCTGCTGTTTTAGCCATCTTTTTTTTGGCCCGTTTCACTTCATAGCAGTGCCGTTTTGAATGTGATTTTTGTGCTCTTGTTTGGGCCACTGGTTTTGTCATTGTTTTTGGCCTGGCATTTGCTTCGTCGCTGCTATCTCTGGCCGCAAGGATTAATGGGGTCAATTTGGCTGTGACACGCACCACCCGCCATCTACCACCCACCACCCACTACCAACTTCTCTTTGGCCATCCCAGCTGCAAGTGCAACTGGCTCATAAAACATGCACAAGGAAAAATCGCAACAGCTACTATAAATCAATTCTACATTTTCGGGTTTTATCATATTTTAGATTCTTTAAATATTTATTAAACGGTTCTAAAATTTATTAAACCCATAAACAAAACTATTGATTAGTTTAGATTAATACCCAAATTGTGCTTGATGACTAATGGTCACATTAATTTAAAAATCACTTAAAAAATGTCTGTATTTTAAATCCAAAATTAGTATTAAATTGTCCTAAATAAATAAATTTTTCAGGTGACTTTAAGGATTCAAATTAAATGAAATTAATATGCTAAAAAGCTGGTTCTTAGAGCACTTGTGAAATTTTTTCTTGGTGTACCAACGAGATGCGGCTCATTTCTCGCCAGTTTGCCAGTGCCGAATGCACTTGGCATCGAGAGCAAAAGCCAGGCCAACAAGCCGAGGACTAACCCAAAGACAAAGATTCCATTTCAATTTACGTTTTTAAATTGCAAACTTTTGCGACAAGTTAAAGCCGCCACACACACACACAACGCACAGCACATACACCCATTTTGGAAAAAGGGAAAAACAAACATTTCCCAGACTCACACACACGCACATCGCCAATAACACGCAACAAGAGAAATGCGAAAAGAAAGTTGAAAAACGAACCCAACTGAGGACGACAAATTCAACATGTCAGGCATTAGAGGAGGATGGATATAGATAAAAGAAGGAGAAGGGAAGAGAGATGGCGAGCTGTCACGAAGATGAAACTATTATCCACGGAAATTAGCGGGTTCCAATGACAAAAACACATGAAATGCAAAAACTTTCCGCCCTTCGCTTCAAGCTCAATTTCCAAATTGTTGACGACATTGTTCGTGTTTTTGTTCCTGTTGCCTCTGCCGCCTCGTTGTTTTCCCATAAGAGGTTTTGTTTCCTCGAGAAAGTTACTAATGCGTATTTAAGTGCGAGTACATACCAAAACCAGCTAACCGATCAGAAACTTTAAGTATTCAGCCGTTTTCTGTGCTTACAAAACAGTGTGAGGAGTGTTGGTTCTATTACTTATACCAAATGATTTTAGGGGAATTTAAATATAGGTGTCTAAAAGTATGCAGCAATAAATGTTGAATTCCCTTCTTTTCACTGCATACTTTCAGACACCTTTATAAATAGTTTAACAAATATTATTAAAATTAAAAAAAAAAAACCCCTATAGTATTTCAAGTTCCCCAAATAATTTATACCTTCAACGGGTCGTGTCACATATTTAACTTCGAGTAACTGTTACCGCACTCAATCGTTTCCCATTTGCCAAGTCAACCTCTTTTTAAGCCTCGTTTTATATTTATAAGTATATGTATCGCCTCTGAGTTATTTGGTATCTTTATTTGTGAGTACATCTTGAACGACATGAGAATTGCCCGGAAGGCTGTTTCCGTTTGACTTTGAGGCCATAAAATGGCCAAAAGGGAGAAACAAAAAAGCGGAGGCACATAAAATATGCGTAAAATATATGCGCAAAAATAGTTGGGTCATCTAATGGCTGAACCAAGTCCAAGACCAAGATAATTGCGCCCGCCCGAATTTGTCCTCTGTGCTTTGCATTTTCTATTTGGAAATCCTCAGCACCAGAAGATACACTCAAAATTTTTACGACCCCAAATGGCATTAAATATCCAAACGTACTTGACGCGACTTTCTTGGCTACGTGAAGTTCGCTTCCTTTTCCCCCATCGCTTTTCTTCTCTTTCGTATTCCATTGGATACATCTGGGTTAGTTTTCCTAGTTGCAAGTGAAAGGAAGGCAAAAGGGATAGCAATGGGGCAGGGGACTTCTTTTATTGCGGGCCATCAAAAAATGTTAAAAGCCCCGATTTCCATGCCCATTGTCTGAGGCCGTAATTGCTTTGGCTTTGGTCCACTGAGTGTCGGCTTAGAGTGGGAGTGCCAGTGAGTTTGAGTGAGTGTGCTTCAAGTCACAGATCCTGTTGTCCTTTTATGCATACAAACGATTTCATCCTCTATAGGTTTTAGGCCATAGAGCTGTAAGGCATAGTCTTTGCCAGTTGAAGAGCCGGTTGGATAGATTGAAGCCGACTAGGCATTTTTAATTGATTTCTTTCTTATCAATTACCTTTACATTATCCTGCCTAAGAAGCATCTATTGGATTAAACTACACATGTGTAAAGATGAATTTAAACTAAACTGTAGGTAAGGTAAGGTCAAAACCCCTTTCAGTACCAAATATAATTTTAAGAGGCTTATATTGTAAATTTGTACTTCTACTACATGTTAATTATAACTATCTGGGAATATGGCCTTTTGTTTTGGGATTTAAGTTAAAGCACTGATCCAATAAGGACGGTGCGTGTACTTCAAAAAGCCTATCACATTATAATGCATTTTCCAATATATATTATGGATTCACTATGATCTTAAGACTATAAGCTATTTTCAACACTAGAACCGAACTACATCGATATATTAGTTAATTCAAGGAAAAATAAAAACAAAATTACCAAGCTATTCAGTTTTTCCTGATGTTAATTGTTGTTAACATTACATCCCTTCATAACAGTTTATGTTAAATGGAATGTGCAGAATATGTTAGGCCCACGTAAGCTGTGCTAACATTTTGGAGACTTTTGCCGTAGCCACATAACAGACCTATAACTTAACAGACTGCCAGGATAAGCCGCTAAAAATGTTAAATAGGTAAACAAGTTTAAACAAGTTAAGAAAATATATCTAAAAATGCCATCTAAAATAAATTGAATGCTTTGATAATTTCTGGATATTTTTAAATAAAAAATGTTTTAAAATATAGGTAGTCCTAGTACTTGTCTGCCTTGTAACCTGTCTCGCCTAACTGACCCAGAAACGAGAAAATCATCGAAGAGAAAGCCGGCTACAAAGCTACAAAAGAGCGGAAATGCGGAGAACCACTCTCCCTGCCACACGAAGTTGGCTGGGACTCTTGATTCTGTCACGAAGTGCTTAACTTCGTCCTTGATTTCGTCAGCATCAGCAGCATCAGAATGCTGCCCTGCGACAATATGTTGGTCTTACTATACGGCCGCTTGACTGACTGGGCCCACAGATTCTTCTTCGGCGGCGGCGAAAGCCAAGGGAATCTGGCTGAAAGGACCTGCTCATGACATCAGCGATGGTACGCTCTCCTTCGTCCTTCTGCCGCAGCGCTGCTCCGGCTGCTCTGCTCTGCTCGCTGCCGCCTGAATCGCAATCGGAATCCTGAGCCGCAGGTTCGCAGCATCGGTGCTTCAGTCTCGAAAAGCCTGCTGTGCGTGCAGGGGTTTTCAACGCGCGAAAACACACGCGGCGTATACGCAACGTGGCCATAAAAGCTGTAGGCCAAAAAAGACGAAATATTCCGCGAACTACATAAATAGGAAGCAAAAAAGAAACCAGGGAACCTATATAGAGACGTGAGTGCCCGGTCTGTGTGAGTGTTTCGGCCTTTTCCCATTTTATCGTTTGCCGGCTACCGGTTTACCGTCTGCAATGAACCATGCCAAAGCCATTGAGCTGTGCCGGCCACTCTGTTGTTGTTGTTGTTGTGTTCACTGAAGAAAAAATGTCTTCAGTTCAGGCTTAAAATTTCCAATTTAAGATGCTTTTATTCATAACAAAATACCTAAGTCCTTACGAAGGACTTCTTAAACATCAGTATTGTTATAATATGCTACCTACGCTGTAATCTTTTTCGTTTTTAAAATATTCTTTTGTTTAACTCTAAGAAAATGGATTATTTTCTGTGTTGTAAATGGCTGAATTCTGCATTTTATGTGTAAAACGTTCAGTTCATTAAAAACAAAGGTTTAAGGTATTTTATGTGGATGGGATTTTATTTTAAATCAATAAAGCTAAATTTAATTTATTTCCTTGGTTTACTTAAACCTTTTTTGAGGCTTAAAGTATTCGGTTTTTTCTTATACCATTTTACAGCACATTTAATTTTACTCCAACAAGATTTATTCCCTGTGTTATTGCAATATAAACGGGAAATCGAAATCGATGCCCATCAGAAGGACCTAACAAGTGCGAAAGGCGGGGTGACTTAACCCTTGCCACTCCAGTTTGGCTTTTCCGAATGCTTCTGACACTTTTGGTCGACCCCTTATATTTAATTTTTTTACTTTTATTTTGGCAACCGTGTTCACTTGTCTTCTTGAGTGTCGGCAAATTAATTAACATGACAATGACGAAGGTGAATTGCGTGTTTTCAAAATGCTCCAATCAGCTCTCAACAGAACATTACCACCTTTTAAATGCGACAGCCTCTTTTTTCCAAAGTGTCGATGCCTGACAAGTCTCTCGGATTTTTCGAGGCGTTTACAAGTTTTTAATTAGACCCTTTGACAAATTACCGTTCGGAACACGGCACAATGGTCGGTAATTAAATGTTTATTGTCGGCGATTTTTTGGGACCGAAGGGCGAGATTGAAGTGACTCGATGGGCGGTGTGTAATTGTCGGGTTTTAATACAAGAGGACAAGTTAACCACTCAAAGGCGACTTAATCAGCAGGTCGATGAGTGTTGAATAACGTGATTGGGGGATATTTCAAAGGATAATGCGATGAGCCACTTAGGTGCCAAAGATATTTTTCCAAATACTTTATCTTTTATTAATTAAACAAAACAAAAAGTAGTTAGATAGCCAAAGAAGTTTATGTTGAGTTATTTATTAAATAAGTGTAAAATAAATTCTTGTTCTCAAAATTCAACAAAGAAAACTGCTTTATTATTAATACTAAAACGAAAAAACGAATAAAACATTGAGAGCTTTTGTTAAAATAAATTTTCCCAAGACTGTTGAAAACTTTATCGGGTTCCTTGTTTATATTTTCCGTTTTATACAATTACATTTTCCCAAAATTTAAGCTGTATGCCACCATTGTATTCAGTTTTTTACTCGACCTTAAACAGTGAGGTTCGTTCACAACAAAGCACAATTTTCTATATTATTTATGGAATAACGAAATCAATATCGCATTAAATTTTCATTTTATGGTTCGTTCCGCTTTGCACCGCCGCAGGACTTGCTTTAAACTGGCGTCCTGGCAACGTGTGGAAGTTCCTTGTCATGCTCTGCCCACTCTTCCCGAACCATTCAGAATTCAGAACATTCCCCATTCCCCTCGATGCTTTCATATTTGTCTAGTATTAGGGGTGAGGACTTTCAACTGCTGCTTTTGCCGTTACTGCTGCTGATTCTCTTGGTTCAAGTATAGCCACTTAAACCCTTTTGACAATGTCAGCCATCAGGCTCAGATGATGATGATGGCGATGACGATGACAAAGTGGATGATGATGATGTGGCTCAATTCAAAACAGCCGTCGCACAAGTTCGCCAAAAAAGCAGCAGCACAAAAATACAAGCAGTTCCCATGCATGGCAAGAACATTAAAATAAAAAACAAGAAGGAAAAAACGACAGGTCCAAATTTATCCTGAAAATGAAAAGACACAAGCTAATGGATGAAATGTGGATGGATGGTTTCCACTCACTTTAGCTTCACTTGAGCCCCGTTGCCTTGGCTTTGAACAGATTTTCAAGCATTCGGCTAATTTATTTTGCCAGCCCTAAGACTCATTAACTCATACATTTTTAAGGCAAACAATGTCCGCGTTTTCAAGTGAAATGCACACACACAATGCCTCAAAATTGAAGTGGGGAAATGCTTAGGAAGATGGAGGCAGAACAGAGTGTTTTGCAATAATAATTTATAAATGAACGAATAAAGGGCGCACAGCAGCGGCAGCGGCAGCCAAAGGCAAATAAAAATAAATAAATAAAAATGGCAATGCGGCATAAAATGTGCCGAGAAGCCGAGTTGAGCCACCATTCCATTCCACTTTTATTTTTCTCCTTTGGTTTTGGGTTCGAGCAGGCCGGAAATGTAACTGCGACGCGTTTATTTTATTGCGTATACGCGGCGCAGCAAAGTAGGCAACAATTTTTGCGGAGTGGGTTTTCGCATGCTTTGTATTTGCTCATGTGTGCGTTTGAGTATTACTGGCGTGCAAGTGTGTGCGTGTGTGTTATATGGCCGCCACAGCAGCGGTTTAACTTATTTTCCACAAAATTAAACCATCAAAAATTTGCCAACAACAATGTTGGGGTAATTTATTTGACTCATGTGCTGCTGTTAGCTCGCCTGTTGTTTGGGCATAGAAAGCCACAGCAACAGCAACAGCAGAATGTAAAAAAGCACACACACTTAAGGGCACTGGAAAAAACTAGTGGTCTAAGATAGTTTAACATAATTATGTCTTTTTTGTCCGAAATAATGAAATTTTAGATTTAAGGGAGTCACAAAAATTCCTTGGACTTAAAAATCACTTTAAAAGGTAGTATAAAACTATGCAGTAATATATTTTAAGCCCGCAATTCCGATATATTTATATCGAAAGTTCTGGGTTTTTTTTATAACCTGCTGTTAGGCGCTTTTCAAAATGGTTTCTGATCGCTTGTAATTTCCATGTGTACTTATAGTGTATTTATATAAATTGTTTAATTTTATTTCTGAATCTAAAACCCCTGATTTTCTAAGAGTGTAATACTCACACCCAGTCCCATCCAAGCCCTTGGCGTTAGTTGTGGCTATGGTTATGTTGGTGACGCTGCCACAGCCGCAATGGCTAACACGTACACACACCAGCACATTTGGCAGGACCATACATACACATATGCAGGAGACTCGGACCAACTCATTCACTTCGTCTTGTTCTTTGTTGGCTGGCGCACTTTTTTGTTGTCGAAATTAAATAAACAGAGCAGGCATCGCAGGCAGCTAAACTGCCACATTTCCCAGCCCCTTGCCACGCCCCCTGCCGCCCCCTGTGATGATGAATTGATGATAATGCCGCCGGGGATTTAGGCAAAATAATGCACAAAACTCGTCGCTGTTTTTGGGGCAGCAACGTTTCCCGTATACTTACATACATACATTTTTTCTGGCACTACGAACTTGGCTTTGAAAAGAGTTAAGCGTTTATTTATTTACATATACTCGTATTTTGGCGTTTTTTTGGGGACCGTGGTGCCCGGCGGGCTCAGTTTATTAAGTCTCAAGTGGAGAGACCCATTCTCCGAATGCTAGACAAACTCCACTCACTCCAAGAAAAAGATTCAGTGCACTGAAGAAAAATCTTTTTTAGGCAGATGTTTCCCTTAATATTCGTTGAAAAAATTCGTAAGAAAATCCAAGGACTTTATTAATAAAGCCTATATTGGTTATTATATTTTCAGTTTTATACAATACTTATGACTTCTTTATATTTACATTTCCACAATTTAAATTTATAAAGTGGCAGAAAATAAGGTTTTAAGAATCTGAAACATTGTTTTGTTTTCTAAGTATTGCTATATTTTATCTGAATTTTTTGTAGCTCTGCTAGATATATCTTTCTGTGCACTAGACTGGTTCCCAGTTCGCTTTGTTGCCATTGCCGTTGGCCTAAACACAGCCAATTTCATGCAAAGTTGGATGCGCCCCTTTCGCATCCTCCGGTGACCTGTTCCATGTCCTTGATGGATGACTTCTGACGCCAGGCAACGTTTGGCGGCCAATTTGATTTGGGCCGCATGGGGAACAGAGGATCCGGGTCCAAAGGCCCCTTGGCAGGACCTGCAGCTCACAACTGTCGATTTGTCAGACATTTGGCGTGGGACTCAAGGCGACCAAAGTGGCAGGGCGCGAAGCGAATGTGCCCAAGTAGCCGGCAGTGTATTACAGATTGAGTTTTGAATTGTTGGCATTCCTGTGTGCTGGAGCCAAAACGATGGCACAAGATGGATGTGCTGGAAAACTGGCGGAGAACCAAGGGATAATATACCATCTGGGTCTATTTAAGGTCTTAGGAAAGTCTGATAGCCCGGCAGTATTTTCTGTCAAGATGGTAATAGCCATTTAAATAAGAAAAGGTCATTTATAAAGCATAAGTAAAATGCCTTTTAATTTAAAAATGTATTAAAAACAACAAATTGACGGTATTTTTGATCCATATATGATGTCTATTTTCAAAGACTTTCTCTGGTCCCTTTAAGCTATACAAAGTCATAACCCAAAGCAGAATAAAACAAGACCCAAACAAGACTCACATGCATTCGCTCACATTTGTGGCCGCTCGCATGTCGCAAAGACAATCCGCATGACGTATACGCCACATGGGTCACGGGTGTCACGGCAACTGGGATCTGGGAACTGGTAAATGTAAGCTGGTAGGTGGGAGTCGGGATGGCAGTTTTCGCATCCGCCACATACCAGGCCAACCTGCTCTGCATGTCTCGTCTCGCCTGTAAGCCAATGCTAAAACAGGCCAAAGCCAACGTCTGAAAGTCGTGCGACGAGACAGACGCCAAATTCCTAGAACGCAACAGTGTACAGAGATCAAAATAATTGTAGATTATAAATTTGTAATATGATATGGCAGAGAGAGAGATCTTCTCAGGCTAAAAAATAAATAAATATCTTGCGAACATTTTAAATTGAACTTAAATTGAAATATTTATTAAGAAAAAACATTATCAAGAATCAAGAAACATCATAAAAATCTTTAAAAAATTACAATCCAATTTCCTTCTATCTTCTTTTGTGAAATCTAAATTTGTTATCTTTTTTTCCCCGTGTAGCCACAAAGCCATAAAGACAACAACAAGAGCACTCACAGCAGAAACGTGGAGCCCAGGAACGATAAATCTTTAACGTGGATTTCATGCATGTAAGCCAGCCAAAGACTCTCAGTCACGATATGATGCATGAGCCAAAAGCGGGTTTAAAATGTAAACTCCTTGAAAGTGCTGCATTTTCAGCAACCGAAGTGCAGCGGCGTTAATTTGCCCAATAAAATGCAGCCAGCTACGAAGAGCAACTAGCGCAGCCATAAATATCATCAGCCATCTGAGCGTTTACTCAGAAATGAAACGAGTTTTCCCGCGCGAAGACAAAGGAAAAACCAACTGGTGGGGGGCGAAAATCAACAGGGAAAGCTCAGCGGGTGGCGCTCCGCATTTAGAGGCAGTCAAACTGGCAGCCATCGGGCACAGTTCTTCCTGAGATCCCGGGTTCCTAAGTCACCTCCTGGTGCTCCTGCCACCCGACTTCCTGCCAGCGCCTCCTTGAGCCGAGCACTTCCGCTTCTTATCGCGGCAATGTAAACGCGTTTCCGTTTAGGACTCAATCCCAGGCTCATTTCGCAGCATCGGGAGCGGCATTAAACTAGCAGCTCGGCGCTGGATTACAAGTAAATTGGAAAGGATTTGAAGATGAGCCTGCTGCGCCTGCTTGGTGCCCTGCTGCTGGCCACATTGAATGGTGAGTGCACTTGGAGAAAATGTTGTAAATACTAGAGATTTATAAAAAGATTTAAGGGGAAAAAAATCAAAAGGACTAACGTATTTTTTATAATATATTTGTTATTGATAAACTTTTTAAAAAGGAATACAACATTCCTTAACTATTTCAAATAACTAATACCTAATTTATAAAATATATTTATTACAATATATTCAAAATGTCAGAAAATTTAATAGTACTTATTAGTATAATTTAACATTACTGACATAAGTAGCTTATACTTTACCATTTATGAATCTAAAGAAATTTATAAGATATATTTAATATAGTATATTGGAGTTTTACATATATGAAATAGTAGGTACTTTAAAATTAAGACTTCTTGAAACGGAAATGAATTTTCTTTTGATTGTATATTTGAGATATAAGCCTTTTCGATCCCTTACCCTTTTACCCTTTTTCCGAGTGTAGAATAAAGAGCTGTTCGAAATTTATGAACGTGATTAACGGTAAGCCCCGCCCCCAGCCCAAAAGTGTCATAAACGCTCGGCTTTCGCCCGCTCGCCTCGATTTATTTGCGCTCACAATTTATTTGCACAACTATTTACGAGCACTGGCATTGGCAATCATAATAATGGCAACACAGCACGAAAGCCATGGCAGCAACAATTCAATAAATGTTGCAATTTGCATCGACAACTACAATAAATTTATCTTAAATGAACAAACATTTTTCTTGCAGCTTTGCCGCCTGGCTGGCAAATAAAATGCGATATGCCAAAGGCTTATCGATGCCACAAAAGGCTGCGCCGGCAAAAAAAAATAAGTAATAACCAAAGCTGCACACAAATTACACCATGGGAAAACCCTCGACAGCACTCACAATGCATTTCAATTTGTTAAAACACTCACTCACATGCCCACTTTCCCATTGCCGAGTGCATAAAGATCCCATGAAAACGGTTTTGGACATAAAAAAGGGCAAATTTCCAACATGTAAATTACGGAATTTCGTCAAGCATATTTGTCAAAATAATAAACATACATATGTGTGTGCAAAGAGGATTTCCCATTTCGACTGTCAGATTTTTAGAGGAGAAAATAGAAAAGGCTTAGAAATCGAACTATTTATTTGAAAAATGCAGATTAAATTGCAAGATAATCTGTGAGCTCGGCAATCTTAAACCAGATATCAGAACCAAGTTTCTTTTAGTTGGTTTTCCATTTTGAAAATGAAAACGACAACTAATTGACAATTATTTTTGGGCTGGGATGACAAAAGGCTGGTAGTCATGACAAACATAAATAAAATGTGTCACTATTAGCTTGCTTATAAATAATAATAATACAAAATCAAATACGAATAATAATATGAATATAAAAAGCATTTGACTAACAATATGAAATAAGATAAAATAAAGTTAAGTGTTAACTAAGGAAATCAATTTCTTTCTGAATTAAATTTTTCGTAATTTTATTCATTTTTGCATGAAGCATAAACGAACTTTAAATGGCTCAAAAAACCAGATGCGAAGAGATTTTCTGGTGATTATAAAGCCAGCCAATATTAAAACATTTCCATGCCGAATAAAGTATTTTGATTTCTCTTGGCCATCCGCAAAGGCACCGTAAAAATATGTCAAATGCAAATTATGCATATAAATAAGAATAAATATATGAATCAACAAATAAATATGTCGCATAAAGAGATATGTGTGCACCCGCATCTTTGTGTAAAAGTCAATTTGCTGTCGCCGCCCGAAAGTCGCGAGTGCCATAAACATGGCGAAATGTGCGTGAGACCGCAACGCCGCAGCAAACGCCATCTGCAAATAAATAAAAATGAAAATGAAAATAAAAATCGAGCGCAAGAGCGGAAAATGCAAAATAATTGCATATTTATGTGCGCCCGGCCACTGAGCCAAAGGATCTGGAATCTGGAATCTGGTATCTGCAAAGGACGAAAGAGAGCTGCGAGCTGCAGCCATAAATCCCGAGAGGCTTGCCTGCTTTTAATACTACGAATCCCAATCCCATTCCCAGCCCGAAATGCGCAAATGTCTGACTGCTCGTAATATTCGCCATACGCTGTCGAAATGTCCGTACGGGGGCGTAAATTTATTTCAATTAAATAAATGTGCATATCCTGATTTTTTGGGGAAAAAGAAAATACTCCTCAAGGACGTGTTAAAAAGATCTTTGCTATTTAGGTGCTAGAAAAATTTCAATTTGAATATTGCAGAACTTACAAGGGGTTTTAATTTATCAGATTTACTAAAATTTCTGTTATAAATACTTTTTAATGTATAGTTCTTCTCTATTTTATTTATTAAACCTTTATTATGATTTATTCCTATTGACAGTTTTCCATAAATAAGTATAATTCATTACATTTTTTCGTGAAATGTAGATCTTAAAGATTTATAAGAATGCACTTAGACCACTAAATTTCAAACCCAATTGAAGACGCTGCAAGGGGGGTCTTAAATCCCTTGAAAGGATTGCCATAATTAGTGGAAAATGACCAGGGGTTGATTGCGCAATAATCCCCCCTCATCATCCCCGCTTTGAGAACACAAAGCCAATGAAATTAACTAAAAATCAGTCAAGAGCATGAATGGCAGCGTTTTATCTCGTCGCTTGTCTTTCGGCCATTATCTTTGCGTTTTGTGCGGCGGAAGAGGAAGCGCGTTTGATAATAATAATAATAATAATAATAGCGCCAACACTTGGCCATTGTTTTAGTGGAAGCCAAGCGAGAAAGCAGCGGCAACAACAAGATGACACTTTAATAGCACAAATGCGGAACTAAACAAAAACCAAAATCAACGAAAAATGGGTGTGGAAAGCGACTCCCGCCAGCTGTCATAATGAAACTGTCAAGGACAATAGGGGGCCAACGGATATACAAAGTGTACGTGTGCCCCTGGAAAAGTCCCACCCTGAATTTTCCACCCATAGCCCCCCATCCCGCCCCCTTTTCCCATCCGCCACTTTCCGGTTTCTGCGATAAAAGCGACAAACGAAATTTCTGTCTGACGGGCAGAGGCCATTTATAAGAGCATCAGTTACAATAACACTGCAGGGCGGCTGGGCGGTCTAAGGGGGGCGTGGCCCTCACAAAAGCCGGGGCCATTGTCATAAATTAAAAATGAGGAAGTGTATGAAAATAAACAAAAAGCCAAACGGGCCAGCCAGCTAGCCGCAGCGGAAATACAAAAAGCGTTGATAAATAAATTTCTAACAAAACAAACAGCTTCCACAGAAAAGGGCAACCCAAAACCCAGAGCCGAACCCAAGAGCCCCAAGAAAAGATATGGTGGCAAACGTGTTGGCCAGGTCAAGATCTCATAAACCTTACAGCAATTACAAGTATAAAAGACATTATACGAATTATTGAAGGGCTTTACAAATTTTGTATTACAATTTTATAGACTGTATTAAATACTATGTTATATTATCGTATTCTTTACCTCTGTTAAATGGTTACTAAATCACGAATTCTTTATTTTCATTAAGGTAAACATTTTTTTAAATTTAAATTTAAAAAAAGTTAAGAATAACCAGAAAGGGCTTAGTACATTTTTAAATTTTCATCTTACTTACAAAAATATATATAATAATTATTATTTCCCTTACTAGCTACTTAACTAATTACTAACTCTAAGAAACTAAGAGCTTTTATTATTATAGTCCCTATTTTGCCACATATGTTTAATTAAAGTAAAAGATCCTTATCTCATTATCCAATTTTAAGTTATTTTTGTCACCACCTTAAACTTCCAGTTTGGGGCGATACTGAAATTCAACGCGAGCCACAAATTTCACAGGACGCATTTTATGTGTCGTAGGACCCCCTGCCCTCCATTTCCTGGCCAATTCCTTTCGTGCCACTGCAACAGCACAGCAACGTTGGCCAAGAGACGCTGGGCGCTGTGGCCAACAGCTAGGTCCAAAGCCGCTGCGGCTTTGATGGAATTTGCGAAAATACTGCACGAGGAAGTCTGGGCAAAACAAATAAGCAAGTAACTTAAAGTCAAGAGCGACTCTGAAATGCCCTAAGAGAGTTTACTATACCAAAATCGTTAAAAATAGCAGATTTGGTTGATTATGTCATTGCGATTCTATTACTTTGTACTTATATATAACTCAAAGAACTTGATTTTAAAGAAGCTTATAATGTTTTAGATCAAATAATATAAACAGTAATTACAAGTTGGGAAATAATTTATTTTAAATACCTATACCAAACATTTCATAAATTTTTGAACACATTTCAAGTAATCCTAACTCTGCCAAGATACACAGCTTTAATATACTAAGGGTCTGATAAGCCGGGTTGCTTTAATAAAATCCGCTATAGGGTTGGTTCCTGCACATCCCCCAACCATTCCGACGACAGTTTCCGTTCTGCTTCTAAAACTCGGACCGTTGACCATATCCACAACGTTTTACGCTATATTATAGTATATACGATATTTTTGTTTCTATTTTATGCGGCTTATTTGGCTCGCACGACACGTCCAGTTTTCTAGGTTTTTTGGCCCGGCTGCAGATCCTCGTGGGGCCTTATTTTGGCTTTCGGCATTTGTTTAAATTAAAGATTATGCACAAGTGAAAAAGTAGCCATGCGAAAGGCGGAGAAGGGGAAGCTATTTGAAATTTAAATATGCGAGCAGAGCTCGACCTTGGGCCACGTGGCGTATGATGGATTTGGGACCGCATGACGTCAATGGGCGAGAAATCTGTTGTAGCCACTTCTGTTCGGCATCGTGTAAACAAGCAAATGGCTTTAAATTGCTGGCAAATGGCAAAAGTACAATAAGCACAATGGCTGTAATCGTAATAAGCCATTTAGCACTTCATCTCTCCGCCACCGAGTGGCGGGGCAGCCTTTGCATATATTTATAATTCATATTCATATTGTTAATTCTCTGGGAGGAACCCCTTTCCCTTCCTGCAAAACCCCTTTTCCATCCGTCGCCGAGGGCAGCTGCCATAAAAGCATCATAAACATT